GGCCGCCTTTGCCCTGCCCCCCAGCTCTTAGCTGCCCCCTGGGTTTCTGATCACTGTCAGTGGCAGGGGGCTTCTTCCTGCTTTCCCTTTTGCCTCCCTGAATTGTGCCTACATATGCAAATTAACCGCCATCTTTGTGGCAGTTAACTGCTATCTGAGTTGGCAGTTAATTTGCATATAGCCCTGATTAGCCAATGAAAAGGGTAGCGTCGTACGCCAATTACCATTTTTCTCTTTTATTAGTATATATATAGCCAGGGGCCATCACATCCGAAACAACCAAACAGACGACCGAACAGGTTGAGTGGGCGACCAGGCCAGCAGGGGGGTTAGTGAGGGACATCCAAATGACTGAACACCAGGCTACGTGGGGCAACCAGGCTGGCGGGGGTCAGTGAGGGATGACCAAACGAGTGAACATCAGGCTGTGTGGGGAGGCCAGGCCGGCAGTGGGGGCAGTGAGGGGCAACCAGGATGGTGGGTAGGGGGGTAGTTCGGGATGACCAGGCCAGCGGGTGGACAGCCCGCCTCCACGGCAGCGCTAAGGACCCCTCAGCAGACATCCCCGAGGGGTCCCAGACTGCGAGAGGGCACAGGCTGGGCTGAGGTGCCCTCCTTCCCCCTCCTGTGCACGAATTTTGTGCACCGGACCTCTAGTATTACATAATAAAGATCAATGAGTTCAACTAATTTAAGAATAATGTAAAAAATTAAAGATTTATTTATTAAGATTTGAATATATTTAACTTAATTTTGAAAAGTTGATGAAGTCAAGGTTAATAATTTGTTGAGAACTTTACATGTCATTTTAACAACGTAACTCAGTATTGTTTATCCTTCACTACTTCTATCCAATTGTTAACTTACGTATGGAATAGGTAGTAAGTTCAGTTCTTGTTACACTGTAAACTGCTTTTAGACAAGAGCCACATGTTATGTTAGAAAATTAATAGTCCATAAAGTTTAGTAAAATGTTAGGTATAGAAGATTATAGTAATGCTGTAATTTTCAAAAATGTCAATTTTTCACTTATTGTACTGCAATTTTTAATGGATTTGAGAAAGAAAAATACATCAATTAAATTTTTTTTCAGCTCTCACCCAAGAATATGCTTTCATTGATTTGAGAGAGAGAGGGAGAGAGAGGGAGAGAGAGAGAGAAAAGAGAAGAGAAGAGAAGAGAAGAGAAGAGAAGAGAAGAGAAGAGGAGAGAAGAGGAGAGAGAAGAGAGAGAGAGGAGAGAGAGAGAGAGAGAGAACACTGATGTGAGAGAGAAACATCAACTGGGGTGGACAAGTTAATCTCTCTGTGGCCTACATTTTTGTAAAATGGTTTAATCAGACCTAAGTCACAGGGTCATGGTGAAGTTTAAATGATGTGTTGAAGCAACAACTGTGTCTATACATGGATGATGGTTAGTGCAGACAGCCGCTATTGGCTGAGATGGCATTAGTCCCAAATTAGATAAGAAGCCTGGATGGATTTCAGCTCCACTCACCCTCAGGGGCCCATGTGCAGGCCGAATTCACGTCCACATGGGACAGCCTGTGCGTGTTATTTCAAAGGATTAGAATAGACACAGGTTATCTTCCTTCTTCCTCTGACAAGTGTCAAAGGGCTAGGTCCTATGCCAGGGGCTGAAATAGAGCAGATAATAAAACGGACAGATGGACAGATGGACCTCTATATTATAAAGAGGTAATATGCAAATCAACCCTCATGCCCTCATAAGATGGCTGCCTATGACCAGGCCAGCAGGAGGATTAGCGAGGGACAACCAAACGACTGAACTCAGGCTGTGTGGGGCAACCAGGCCAACAGGGGGGCAGTTGGGGGCTACCAGGCCAGCAGGGGGGGCAGTTAGGGGTGACCAGGCCAGCATTGTGGGGCAGTCGGGGGTGACTAGGTTGGCAGGGGGGGCAGTTAGGGATGATCAGGTCGGCAGGCAGAGGAGCGATTAGGAGCCAGCAGTCCAGGATTGTGAGAGGGATGTCTGACTGCCAGTTTAGGCCTGATCCCTAAACCGGCAGTCAGACATCCCCCAAGAGGCACCAGGGCAGAGAGCGCACACAGGCTGGGCTGAGG